CTGTCCCCTGTCCAACTCCCTGATTTTGCTGCTTCCGGGACTGCCTCTTTGACTTGGCCTGCTGGACAAGAGTTTCTTCAAATTGGGAGAGGTCGTGATGCACCACCTGCCTCCAGGCTGAACGCTCAGATGTCAAGGTTTCCCATCTGTAGAGGTTGTTTCCTAAGGTCTTCAGATCCCGCTTGCAGATATCCTTGTATTGCAGTTGTGGTCTCCCTCTGGGGCGATTTCCCTGCACTAATTCTCCATATAGGAGATCTTTTGGAATCTGACCATCAGTCATTCTCACAACATGCCCAAGCCAACATAGATGTCGCTGTTTCAGTAATGTATATATGCTAAAAATTCCAGCTCGTTCTAGGACTACTCTATTTGGAACTTTGTCATACCAGGTGATGCCAAAAATGCATTGGAGGCAACGCATATGGAACATGTTCAGCTTCCTCTCCTGCCGTGCACAAAGGGTCCAGGACTCACTGCAGTATAGGAGTGTGCTCTATGTGATTAGAAATGGGCATGAACCTCAGTTCGAAGGTTCGTGCTGGATCATCGATGCAGCACAACAGGTACTGCATGTTCCCTCCCTCCTCCTCTTCAGGCATTTGACCAGTCCCATCAGGAGCACGTGCTTCCCTCCTCCGCCTCTTCTGGCAGTCACCCACTCGACGTTGCAGGAATCCCTACCCCACCTCCTTATCTGAGTGAGCAGCTGCCGGAGGAGGGAAGTACGTATTTCTGCCAGGAGTGATCAAGTGCCTGAAGAGGAGGAGACGAAGAGCTTGCACTGGCTGGTCAGTGCGGAAGTCAGCTAGGCTGGGGCTAGGGGAAGGGAATGTATGGCACCTGTGGTGCCGTGCTGACAAACCAGCACAAACCTCCAAACCGAAGTCTGTGCTCATCTCTTAATAGCGATCCTATTAATTTATGGCCTCTAGAGATCTTCCTCAAAAATAAAGAGTGATACTCCCTGTATTGAGTCAAAACATCTCATATTAGATCTGTTTTCCCTTCTGCCTTCCACTTTTCTTAGCATTATTGCCCTTTCCATTGTGTCTTGTATTCTGATGTATTCTATTCCTGTGTCCAAAGAAGGTGAGTCATTTTAGCATCTAGAGTTTAGGCTTGATTTCTTACAACACATATATTTGTTTTTCTGGTGGTCCATGGAATCCATAAAATACTTGTCTAACATGATATTTCAGTTTTTCCACTTACCATTCCTTCACAATGCTCTTCCAAGTCTTATTTTTCTTTCTGAACCAAAGTGTAGAAAACCATTTAGAAGTGTTGTAATGTAATTCAGAAAGAAATGTAATTCCTACTAGGAATTCAGATTTATTCAGTTACAATCAACCATATGCATGCATATGAACCGATTTTCTTATGTTTTACACATGGAAAGTTCAACTTTATTCAACAGGGACGCTGTTGAACACATTGGCAGAGGGAAAGGGGTGTGGCAAAATATTGTAGCATGTTGAAGACCACAACTTCCTGGATGATTATGTATCTGGCAGAGCCGGAGATTGGGAGACTGATTTCCCAGTGCGCCTCGAGAGAGAAAAGCCAGCCTGTGTGGACAAAAGGCAAGTTGCACAATACCAGGATTTCCCCAGAAGAAGGGAATAGTGAACCACTTATGAGTATTCTCTACCTGGAAAACCCTGAAAAGAATCACCATGAGTCAGAATTGACTTGATGGCAACATTTATTTATTTAATGACTAAACAGTTTTTATGAAGTTTTGTGGCTCAAAATCTACTAACTCGATAACAGGAGTAGGGGATACTTATTTGCACTCCTGTTTTTGAAAAGGTGAATTTTAATTCACTGGAATAAAGCTGTTCATCTTTAAATTGCTACTGCATTATTTGTTTGGAGATTTTTTTTTTGCCAACATGCCAAAGCAACAGGGCTACATACAGTACTTGGAAACCCTGGACCTTGTAGCCTACTTTTTTTGGAGTAACCTGGAAAAACCTTGCTGTTATTTTCAGATGATAACCACACGACTTCGTAAAAGCTGAAATACAAGGCGACTTAGGCAAGATGCTTAATTAGAACCACTGTAGGTAAAAACAAACTAAAAAACAAAGACAAAAATGTGGTAGTACCTTAAAGCAGAGGTCCCCAACCCCCAGTCCATGGCCTAGCGCCAGTCCATGCCCTGAGATGAACCGGGCCACGGAGACGGACCTCCCGCGCGTCCCCACACGCTCACTCACCCCTGCACACCTGATTTGCCCATGCGTTCCAGTGTGCCTATGAAGGGCCGCTGTTTGCGCATGTGCACAAGCGCATGCATGCACAGGCATCGCTGTTTGCATGCTCACGCTCATTCGTGCATGTGCATGAGCACGCAGGGGGGTGCCCTGCCTTCCTATGGGGTGAAAAAGGCTGGGGATCCCTGCAAAGACTTACATTTAAATGTGAGCTTTTGTGGACAAGCTCACTTCATCAGCACCAGATCCACTGCTTTAAATATACAATGGCATGGGCTAATTATCAAATTCTGTAAAACTGCATTTTTTAAGAAGGAGCTTCTTTCCAAATGTGAGTGTTCTCAAGGTGGCTCTTCTTGCTCTCGAAATAAATCAGCAGACTTTTGAGGTTTTGAAATTGGAGTAATGTTTATTGCATTATTTAACAGAAAATCAGTGTCAACAAAAGCATTCCAAGTTGTGTCACCTCCAGGTCAGAGAGGGGTTTCCAAATTTCTTCTTTAAAAGGGTTTCCCCCAACAGTGTCCCAAGGACCCGGCCAGTCACGCAGGGGATCAGAATTCAGTAGTAGTCTGGGTTCTCCCTCCAATAGGGGTACTGTGTCCTCGTCCTGTACGTCCACCCAGGCGATGTCCCTGGAGGGTGTAACCAGGGTGTAAAGGTCAGCCACGGTCAGACGGGTACCCCCTCATCTGGGTCTTCATCACCCTCCATTCAATTCTTTCCCTCTTTTTCCTTTCCACACATTCTTTTTCGTCCCTCAATTTCCTCCTCCACTCTTTAGCCTCCATCTCACCCCAATAAGACCGTCTCTGGGTCAGTTCTCTTCGCCTTCTATAGTCTGCCTCCTCTTTTGGTATTTGGAGCCTTTCCCACTTCCCTGTCCGTGGGTCTTGTATCCAAACCCATTTACAACCTGGAGGCAGTTCCCCTTTCCCCCCTTTTATATCAGCAAACCACCTCTATCCGGGGTTTTCGTTTCTTTCCTGCCAAGGTATTCCCACTTTCCTCAACCATCAACGTTCGCATTTTTTCCTCCACTGGTATGGGGTCTCTCTCTGTAGCCGCTGTCTTTTGAAGACAGGCCATCGGTGAAGTTTGTAACCCTGTCTCTACAGAGACAGCACTCCAGCAAGAATAGGTAACCTAACCACAAATAACCTAAGTCCATTTTTCACACAAGCATATAAGTGACCCACTGACATACCTCCAAAAATTCAAAAAGCAATTACCATTGCAGAAGAAAGAGAAAGGTGGAGGTCGCCTTTGTCATGATAGACAAAGCTGGCAGTTACAGTTTTTTTTTTCCTATCATGACAATTGTGTTGCTGTGACATCTAAGCTAAGCCGCAACTACATCAAAAGATACTGGCCACATAAACTCTCAGCGCTTACAATTTGTGGGAGATGGTTTAACTTGTTCAGATGCGATGCACCATGGGCTATATGCAAAGCAGATTTCCCCCATCTGAACCAGTGTCCTCTTTGAAGGAGTTCGTTATCCCACCCCCACATCTGGAGCAGCCAGAGAAATGCAAATTTGCTCGTTATCAAGTCGTATTAGTGGGTTCTAGTTTCTCAGTTCTGTGCGAGTTAACTGGCCACACAGGGAGGCGAAGGGCCTAGGCAGCTGGCCAAGGGAGCTTTTCTGTAGCCCAGCAGGAGGCGCAGGTACAAAAGAACTTTAAATTAGGTGTCAAACCAGGAAAGTGCCGATTTCCTCGCCTGGTTTCCTCCCCACTTCGCTTTGTGTCTAGGGGGTTGGGGAGGGATGTAAATATTGGGAGAAACTGGCTGTCCACCTCTGGAGAAAACCTACTTGATAGGGCAGTTAAACCCATTGCAGTCAAGGGCGCTTACTGGGAGTAAGAGTCAGAGACTGTAACGAGTTTAACTTTTGAGTAGTTCTCTCCGTTCTGGATCAATTCTGAAACGGAGCCATCGGGTGAAGAAGCAATCACGGTGCCTGATTCGGTGCGAATGGGTGTGATGTTAAAAAGTGGCAGCCTGAGGAAGCAGAGGCAACAGCGACAGATTGGGGGCAAAGAACTCCGAGCTGACTCGCCTTTTCTTTTATGTCAATTAAAAATAAAGCGAGTCAGACTTTTCCAGTCCAGGAGCATTTTTCGCATTTTTTACTAATGTGGTCGCAGCTGGCACCAAAGGGCCATACTTCGGCATTAATTCGGGTGTGAAAGCCAGATAACCCCCGATTTTTCTACTCGTTCGTGTGAATCGTGTTCTCTGGTTTTGACACGTTGGGACGCTCCGATTCCAACTCGTGCGCGTTCCAGTGCTGCGTTTCAAGAAAGTGTGGCTCACAATCTGCTTCTCTTGGATGCACTCGGGAATAAAGCGCCGCTGGATACAGGAGTAGAGTTTGTCGTTAGGACTCCGTTCCGGAGTCTGCGTGACATTTACCCCACGTCCTCAAACTGTCAAGAGCCTTTGCAACTCTCGCCCGGCCCCATCCGCCAGCCATATTTCTTTCCCTCTTCCAAAATGGTAGCTTCGGCAACTCCTGCTATTTGCCCGCACCCAAGATGGCGTCATAATAGGCGGGGAATGTGGAGGGGAAGGGGGCGTGTCTACTCTTTCCAGGACCCCGGCTCGGCTCTTCGGTTTCTAACGGAGGAAAGCCCAGGAGTGGGCGTAGCTCTAGGCAGCTTCTCGTCCTGTGCTCACCTCCCGTTCGCGTCTTTTGCCTAGGCGAATGGCTGGGTGACGGAGAGATACGTCCTCCTTCCTATTGGCTGTGGCGCTGTCACTCCTTTCTCTCCCTCCGCCCCCCCGCTCTCCCTCCTCCAGTGCCTGTTCCTCGTCCTCTCTCGGCCTGAGGGAAGAGCCGTTCCCAGGCCGTGTGAGGAGGGGGCTTCGGGCCGCCTCTGTCGCGACCGAGGGGAAGGGAAGCGGTGGGAGTTCCTGGCCGGGCTCGGAGGCGGAGTGAGGCGATGCTGGGGGGACTCGGGAGGCAGCGGCCAGCGCGGCGCTGAGAGAGAGAGAGAGAGAGAGAAGAGGGAAAGCGGAGCGATGCACCGGCCCTGCAGCACAACGGCCAGGTTGAACGGCCGTGTCCGACGTTGCCCAACCGGGGCTTAGGTAGGTAAGGGCGGCCGCCTGGGACCCAGCTGCGGAGAGAAGGGAGGGCGGGCAGGCAGGCAGGCAGGCTGCGCGCTCGCTTCCCTTCCCGGCCGTTCCGTTCTCTCTCTTGCTCGAAAAAGGCCTGATTTCTGAGGGGCCAGCGGGCGACATTCCTTGGCAGCAGCTTTCCACCCCCGCAGTGAGGTTTAAGGGAAGTGGGGCGGGAGTCTCTCTCTCTCTCACACACACACACACTCACACACACACACACAGAGCGGTTTCTCTTACACACTCT